TCTAGACATCAGTAAGGTAGCTCAGTTCATAATTGACATGATGGGCACCTTTTGCGCACCCTGCCGTGATGAAGACATCAAACAGCTGCGTGAAATCACTGACATTGTTCCCCTTTTTAAGTAAGTAACTTAAACAGATCAAGGTGAAGGTCACGTGACTCCAACTCCCATTAAAATCATGTTTCTTTGCAGGGCTATATTTGCAGTGCTGGACAAAATGAAGATCGACATGGCCAACTTTGCTGTGAGCAGCCTGCGACCTCACCTCTTTCAGCAGTCGGTGGAATATGAGCGGAAGAAATTCCAGGAGTTCCTAGAGAAACAACCCAGTAAGAAAAATCAATTACTTGTATAGTAATTATACAAAATCAATGAATGTTATGCTATGCAGGGATAACATTGGATTAAAAAAACATGGATACGCTTCTTGCACTTTAGTAAATGCTAATCTCTTTAATTGAGTAATGTATATTTTCAGATGCTTTGGATTTCACAAAGAAATGGCTCCAGGACACAGTAGATTATTTAACCGGTGGAGGAACAGAGGGTGGAGCAACATGCACACCAAATTCTGCTCAACTTCCTCTAACTATACACAATCATGCCTATTTACGCCTGTTAAAATGGGACCATGATACTGAGTCTTTTCCGGAGGTAATGTATTATTAGTGATAAGTGATGTTTGGATCTATTCATTTATTTAAAAAATGTATTATAAATGCAATTCATACATAAGATACCTCTTGTTTCTAATTTCTCAATTAAAATACATTTTTGTGGAAAAAATACTTTAGGTATCTTTTGACCGGCATATGGCCAAACTATCTTAAAACAAATTATCTGATATCATAATGAAGAATTTTAACAATTAATGATATTTGTTTTAAAAAAAAGCTTTATTCTTTTGGGGTCATTAGGTTTTGTTTTTGTTTTTTAATTCATGGGAAATTGAGTAAGAATATAAATTAGTAAATTAATCAAAAGTGACAGTAAAGGCATTTATAATGTTACAAAATCTCTATTTCAAATAAATGCTGGGGTTTTTTTTACTTTCTATTCATCAAAAAATTCTGGAAAAATGTTTATGGATTATGTCACATTAATACATTACATTTTAAAATACATTAAAATAGACTGTTCTTTAACATTCTAAGAATATTTTACAATATTACTGTTCTTACTGTTTGATCAAATAAAAGCAACCTGGGTGAGCATAACAGACTTGCACGTGTGTTTTAAACTCTTTTTTTTTTTTTTGTCATTGATCCCAAAACTATTCTTTTACCTTTTCCTTTGTTTTCTCCCTCCTGTTATCAAACAGACTCTTCTCATGGATCAGGGCAGATTTCTGGAGATGCAACAGGAGCTGGAGAAACTGGCACTGGTGGCCTCAGTCCTGCTCATAGTCTACAACAGTGCCGGTGAAGCTATTTCTGGACTCCCAGGCCTCATGGAAAGACTGAAGAAAACCATTAAGATTCTGTTAGCGGAGATGCACACTTCGTACGTTTGTAGATTACATTACATTGTTTTTCTAACAGTGTTGGGGGTAACGCATTACAAGTAATGCGAGTTACGTAATCAAATTACTTTTTTCAAGTAACTAGTAAAGTAACGCATTACTTTAATTTACAAGGAAATATCTGAGTTACTTTTTCAAAAAAGTAACGCGGTTACTTTGTTTTCCCATTTATTGATTGACAAGTCTCCTGTCCCCATATTGGGAGAAAACGGAAGTGCAGAGGAGTTGTGTGCGCTGTGTGAACATGATGTTACTGTAGTTCTAGACTAAATGTGAATGTGCATTAATTCATCCCACTCACAAAAAACAGATTTAGTATTCATCAAAATGAATTAAAACCGTGAAATGCAAACTCAGAATATGAAGCAAACCTGCAATAATTAAATATGGCAAATAACACAAATGTATCTAATCCCATTTTATTAACCAATGTCTTTGCTGCTGACCTTTGATGATCCAGTTCAACCATACTAATAAGCAAAAATGACTTTAGATAAACGAACAATTGTGCTTCATTGTTTTTTTTATTGCTGAAGAGTGTTTCTTCTCCTGCGTTTTACTGTACAGACGGGAATTTACTTTTCCTTTAGCCTGAGGTTTATTCATTACACTTGTTGGTGTGAAAGGGCTTTTACATTTGCTATAAATACAACTTCTTATATTAAAAACAATCAAGCCCTGCTCATATTTAAAATGTAACGCATAAGTAATGTAACGCATTACTTTCCATAAAAAGTAACTAAGTACCGTAATTAAGTTACTTGTTTAGGGAGTAACGCAATATTGTAATGCATTACTTTTAAAAGTAACTTTCCCCAACACTGGTTTCTAAAGCCTCACACTTCTGTAGACAAAACCATTGTACTTTTCTCTTATAGGTCCTTTAAAGCGGATGAAACCTTTGCTACGGTTGCAGAGAAATTGTGTGGGGAGCTCAGAGGATGCTTGTCGCAGCATGGCTTTTCCCCATTTTCTTCTGACAGAGAGAACACGTTGAAAGGCCAAATTGTAGCTGCGAAGTCTGCGGACAACCCCATACGCAAGGTCATTGGTAAGCGTGTTGTAACCCAAAAAGCAGTTGGATTTTATTTAGAAGTGAAGAACTCTAATCTAAAACTCTACTTTCCCTATCAGACTCCCGAATCCAGACGTACCTTCTTGGCTTCCTGGAGTCAAGCGCCCACCGGTGTGCTCCGGCTCTCCCTGGAGGTCTGACACCCATCAGCAAAGACTTAGAGGAGATTTCCGTTAAGCTGGAACGTTTGGTAACCTTCAACAAGCTAGTTTACTCTCCGTTCTACCACAAGATCCTCCAAGATATTCTGAAACGAGGGGAAAGTTTAGATGTGTAAACAAAATACCTGAAATACTTACCACTAGTGTTCCTGGCTTTCACATTCTGTAGCTATGTACAAATTAAAGTGTCTGTAAAATAGCTAATTAACCCCTTAAAGCTCACACGCTAGCACTAACAGATATTTAAGGGTTAAGAGTCCTGACCTCCTCTCATTGCATTCTATATCAGGAAATATTTATGAATGTATCAAGGCATTTGAATTGCCTAAAGCTTGGATTACTTTAGGCAGTAACTCATAACTGTTAGAATAGCATACTGAAATGTAATAGAGGAGAACCATGCAAAAAACTATTATTGTGTGCAACAAAATAGAAAAAGAATACTTGCATTTTACAAAAGTAGTAACATTTTAAGTAGTTTCAAACATTTGCTGTCGTAGCCTGATCCCTTCTGTAAAGGTGTTATTGAGGTTTCCGGTTGTGAGGAAAAGGATGTACAGTACAGCATTTGATTGGTGCCTTAGTTTGTGAAGTGCCACCCATATTTGAGTGCACATTTTTCTCTTTACTGCTCATTTTAACCTACAGATTACTCCCATGTTGTTCCCATGTTCACGGGACACTTGGAACACCAAGCATGGTCTTTTTAGAGTATTCTTGATTTTTTAAAAACAATGTTTCTATCAACACTGAGCATGTTTTACAGAAGACAACTTCACCTCACAAGCAACTGTATTCCCCAACAACCCCAACTGCACATTTCTCTGTTCTACTCTCATGAACCTCTAAGGTGTTTTATTAATGCAGTATTACTAATGGTTATTTTAAATGGAATGCTGGCTCCCAATAAAAATGGTTAATGGAGGTATGTAGAAGCATTGATTGTGTTTACTGTTTTTTTTGTATGCAATTCATCTGGCATTATATTACATGCTATTTAGTTTTGTTTTATCCCGTATTAATCGGCTATCAATATTAAATCAAATAAAATGAGTTAATTCTGGAAAACATAATTTTCAGATATATCAGTATTTAAAATTAAATATAAAATACTAATTGTAATAATAAAAAAAAAAATGTAAGAACATGTTATTTGTTATGCATACAATACATCAGTTATACATACATCAGTTATTGTAATAATTAAATGTTCTAAAAAAATATTATTTTATATAAAATATACTTTATATACAATAAAGTACTATATTTTATATTTTAATGTTATATAAAATAATATTTTATAATATATTTAGTTTGATCTACTTAAATGTTTTAAGTTATGTTTACTAATTACTACATTGTTTTATATTTTATGAAAGATTTTTAAGTTATCAATTATTGTCAGTTAAATTAAATTTGTTCCTTAATGGCTACAAGTTGCATTACTTTCAGATATATCAATCTATTTTGTTTTACAGTAAAATAAATTGTAATTTTACTGAAATACTTTTTTATTTCGCAGTGAAAGTGACATTTCTCTTTTTTTTTGCATATTTTAATCATTTAATGTTTATTATTATAATTATAATTTTTTTGGCCAAATTGTGAAGCCTTTGGCCAAGCACAGCTCTAAAAAAAAAAATCACATTTTATACGGTTCAATTTATAAGTTTTGTTCAATTTATATGTTAAGATTTTTATATTATCGATTATTATTTTAAGTTGAATTAAATTTGTTAATTAACGGTTACCAGTTACATTGCTTTCAGATATATCAATCTATTTTGTAATTATGTATAAAATAAAGAAAATATTTACATATGATTAAATTATGTATTAAATTTTAAAGCAAAATATTAGATTTAAATAATTAAAATTTTATTAAATGTGTTAATTCCGGAACGCAACATTTTCAGCTATTTTATGGCAAAATAATTAATTATATAGACAATATAGCAATATTTACGTGTTATGATGTTACATTGTATACAAATGTTTAATTAGCATGCAAAGATTTATTTTGATAACATTTACATATTACACTATGACGGTTTTATTTGTTTTTTTGTTTTTGTTTTTTAGACCTGTGCTTTGTCCAAAACACTCCTCGCGCACTGCATTTACCCATCAGAAGGGGCCACTGCACAACAGAACTGTGCCCTAGTTCCGTGGGCGTCTCATGTGTTGTGCGTTGACTCTCCAGCCCTGTCCACGGCAGTACAGCGAACACAGCAGTTCTGATTCCGCTCTCAAACTCACAGGAAGAAGCGGCGCAAGAGCATTCTCGAGCGAGCGCTCAGCTGAGAGAGCTCCAGCGAGCTGAGCTGACAAGAGTTTGTCCGTCGCCGGCAGGAGGAAACAAACCACGGGGGCTTAAACGTCCTCGACATGACGACAAAAACCTCCCCTGACCGAAACGGATATCCTTAACTACACGCTGGACCCTGTTCGGTTCCCGTGGATGGCTTAGCGGTCGAGTTATGCGCAGTTGAAAATGAGGGAGCTTGTGTTTTTTCTCCCTCGTCGTCCAGCGAGAGGACAAGATGGCAGCGCGAGCGCGTCGAGCATGTAGTGGGTGCGAATTAAACCCGAACATGTTCACAAAAAACCCGCGGTCCGACCACAGCTGCTGTCTGTGAAGGTAAGGAAGAATTCAACGACTTGCAAATGCATAAATACGTGTCTGATAGTTAATAGTGAAGCTATCAAATCAGGCTCGACTTCGGAGTTGTGAACGCGAGCTCGTAGCTGTTGCGAAAAAAGTTGCCACGCCACACCAAAAACTTGAAAGCAGTGTTTCGCTGGGGTTGCTCGTGTGTTTTAGTAGCTCTTGAGCTTCTGGGTTTACTAAAAAAAAAAAAAAACCTATATTATTTTAGCCACGCAACTTTTTACCGTTAAATGTTAACCAGCCAAACCCATAAAGTTGACCTAAATCCTGCTGCTTTTAAAAGCATGACGCAAAGAAGCTCAGATGATGTTTTTAAGCATTAATCATTTGCGTTGTTAGTGTTCGTGCATATGATTTGTAGGTTTTAAAGTGAGTTTTTCCGTTTAAACTTGCCAGTTGTTGATCTTGTACAATAATCAAGCGACATGTTGCAATCCTTCTAAAATGCACAGGCCTGGTAATCGGTTAGCAGCTGACTTCTCCTTTCTTCTGTAACTTGACAGTATGCTGGTAAGACTCAGCAAAAGTTATCTAAAATCTCTTATGTGATATGCAAGTTGCATTTCCTGTCTACACATTGAAATAGAATCTCTCATGCATTTCCTATAGAAGCTTGTTCAGAAAGATGTTTTAAACTGTTCTTGAATATTAGAACAATGCTTATTTCATGTATGTTTTCGACAGGGAAAGTTTTGTTCCTTCCAGAACTTCATTTAGCGTTCCTACTGTCACGGAAAACCTGGAAATATTATGGAATTTCCAGACCTGGAAGTGAATATAGACCCCCCCCCCCCCCCCCCCCACTCCCCGGGGGGTCTTAACACAAATTTATTT